CCCGCCCGTATCAGAAAAACGAAAATATCGAAATATGTCCGAAAAAAATTTATAACTCGAACAATTTTCGACCAAATTCTTGTTTCTTGGTCGCAAATTAAAGAGGGATTAATGCTTTTTGTCATTGGACCAATAAGAATATTTTTAAAATATTTTTGATAGCTAGCGTCCCCTCCCGCCCGTATCAGAAAAACGAGAATTGGAATAAAAGTTCAAAAAAAATTCATAACTCGAACAATTTTTGACCAAATTCTTGTTTCTTGGTCGCAAATTAAAGAGGGATTAATGCTTCTTTTCAGTGGCCAATAAGAATATTTTTAAAGCTTTTTTGATAGCTAGCGTCCCCACCCGCCCGTATCAGAAAAACGAAAATATCGAAATATGTCCGAAAAAAATTTATAACTCGAACAATTTTCGACCAAATTCTTGTTTCTTGGTCGCAAATTAAAGAGGGATTAATGCTTCTTTTCATTGGACCAATAAGAATTTTTTAAAAAAAATTTTGATAGCCAGCGTCCCCACCCGCCCGTATCAGAAAAATGAAAATTGAAAAAAAATCGGAAAAAAATTCATAACTCGAACAATTTTCGACCAAATTCTTGTTTCTTTGTCGCAAATTAAAGAGGGATTAATGCTTCTTTTCATTGGACTAATAAGAATTTTTTAAAAAAAATTTTGATAGCCAGCGTCCCCACCCGCCCGTATCAGAAAATCGAAAATATCGAAATATGTCCGAAAAAAATTTATAACTCGAACAATTTTCGACCAAATTCTTGTTTCTTGGTCGCAAATTAAAGAGGGATTAATGCTTCTTGTCATTGCACCAATAAGAATTTTTTAAAAAAATTTTTGATAGCCAGCGTCCCCACCCGCCCGTATCAGAAAAACGAAAATTGGAATAAAAGTTAAAAAAAAATTCATAACTCGATCAATTTTCGACCAAATTCTTGTTTCTTGGTCGCAAATTAAAGAGGGATTAATGCTTCTTGTTATTGGACCAATAAGAATATGTTTAAAAAATTTTTGATAGCCAGCGGACCCACCCGCCCGTATCAGAAAAACGAAAATTGGAAAATAAATCGAAAAAAAATTCATAACTCGAACAATTTTAGACAAAATTTTTATTTCTTGGTCACAAATTAAAGGGAGATTATTGCTTTTTAAAATGTGACTATTGCATTTTTCTATAAACTGTAATAGCTAGCGTACGTTGTTTTTTGTTTTGATTGAACCGCATAGGGCCACCGCGCTACTATGTGTGTCGGCGCCTTTGGATTCTTCTGATGGCTGGCTGCCGGTGGGTCGCTAGTTTCATCGAGGCGAGTGAATTTTTAAAATTTTTAATCTGAAATCGTTTAAAAATTGATGTTTATTCTTAAAAATATAAAATTTTCTAATTTACAGAATAATAGCAATTATTAAAGTTTCGCGCGTATCATTTGCTAATAATTATAATAATCGAGATAATAATTATAATTATAACAATAATAATAATATTAGTAAAAATAATAATAATCGAAATAATAGTAATAACAACAAATTTATCCTTTGTAAGCCCGTTTATATGTATAAAAAAATAAATAATTTTTTTATTTAGTAAATATATACAGGCTTATAATAAAAAAATTATGAAAATAATAATATTAATAATAATCATAAACGTATGCTAACGTTCAAAATAAACAAAACAAATTTAAAATACAAAAAAAAGAAATAGAAATCCAAAAATTGAAAAAAACAAAAAAATACACCGAAAGAAATAGAAAAGAACCGTAAATTAGAATCGATTGAAAAGGGAAAAAAATAAAAATTTATTTATTTGACATTCGAGGAGAGTGGAAAATCTTTTTTTTTTTCTTTATTTTTCTCTCTCTCCTCAACTCCTGGAATTATATTGAATGCGACCACCTATGTATTTAAGATTTCCAATATTATATACATAGTTTGTACCTGGTTTTTACGATCAGACCTGTTTCCTCAGAAATTATCGTTTTTCGAAAGATAATCTTGTTTTTGCGTCTATTTAGAGCAATATTCTCAAGTCCCCTCCTCCACTACCTTGAACAATGGGGGGTCCATTGTTCAAGGCATGACTTTTCGAAACGAGAAATATTGTATATATATATATATGCGACTTATGCCAGCAAAAGTCAAAAGTTTCAAAATGAAATAGAAATTATAGTCCAGAGCAAAAATTTTCTTGAAATTTTGAATATTTACAACCTTGAGGTCTTGATTTTATAAACTCACGCAAAAGCGAGCGCAAAAGTATATTTTTTTGAGGGTTTTTCTTTTGTGCAAAATGATGATAATGATGAAATGGAAATTTCTTTGTTATTTTAAAAAGGTGGTTTTTTTTTCTTTCTGGTACTTTAATTTTTTGGTCACAGGGCTAAAAGAAAAAATGTGGGTATTTTTACGTGACCAATGCGCTTTTATTTATTTCGAAGGTATAAAAGTAAAAATGACATTGAAAAGAGTCATCATTATGCGAAGGGGGCGAAGGGAAATGGAATAATATAGAGACGTGAATTTTTTTTTAAAATGACTTTTTTCCTATCTTTGGAGAATTTATTTTCTTCGAGATTTTCTTTCCTCTTTTCGAAACGAGTGGGAAACATTTTATTATTCCTGATAGTAATCTCGGTTAGAAGAATTATTTCTCTCTTTGTTTTGTAATTAAAGCTGAATTTAAATTTATAGTGTAATTTAATTTTTAATTCCTTTTATCTTTTTGTTAAAAATAAAAGAAGAATTTTATTAAGTTTTAAAAGTTAGTAGGCTATATTTTGCAAATAGAAAAATAAATAAGAGATAATTTACTCAAAATTCTGTTTTTGATCCTTTTTATTAAATAATTGAATTTTTTTTAAACGGGAAAGAAAAAAGGGTAAAATTTCTGAAAAAAATTCTTTATTTGTAATAAAAGTCCGTGAAACATTTTAAATCTATTTTTTTAATTTACTTCCCATTATCATATTGAATTTGTTGGTCGGCACATGAAGAAGAGAAGCGGAAGAATAGAAAACCACATTCAATAATCCCATTACATCCTTCATTGCATCATGTTGCGTCACGTGACCTCAAAATTTTCAATTCATGTAGCGTGTTTTTTCACACATTTTAACACATCTGTGTGCGTGAGGGAGGGGCGCAAGAGAATGGAAAAAGAAGGAAAGAAAATGAGATGTAAAAAAAGGGGAAATTAAAAAAATAAAAATGAAAAGGATAAATAAAAAAGAAACTGGAAAAAGAAGAAAAGTTGAAAAAGAAGAAGAAAAGTTAAAGAAGAAAAATAAATGTCGCAGGAAATGAAGAAGACGTTCGAAAGAGAAAAGCAGAAGAAATGAAAAACAAAAACGAGAAATAAAATAGAAAATGAAGAGAAAGAAGGAAAATTTAAAAAAGATTTTAAAAAAAGAAGAAAAGTGAGAAATAAAAAAGAAAAGCGAGAAACAAAACAGAAAGAGAAGAAATAAGGAAGAAAACTAAATAAAAATGAGGAATAAAATAGAAAAAGAGAAGGAGAAGAAATGCGAGAAACAAAACAGAAGGAAAAAAATAAAATTGAGAAAAAATATAGAATAAGAAGAAAAAAGAAAAGCGATAATTAAAACAGAAAGAGAAAAAATAAAGAAGAGAAATAAAACGAAAACAAGAAATTAAAAAAGAAAAAAATATGAGTAAAATACTAAAAGTTGGAGATGAGTTGTGAAAGAAGAAGAAGAAGAATAAGAAGAAGACGAGGAGAAGGAGGAGGAAGAAAGTAGAAGGACCGTGAAAACTTGAAACGACCACAACGACGACGACGCTAGTGATGATGATGATGATGATGACGATAGTAATAGTAATGGTAGAAGTAGTGGAGGTGGTTTGGACCGTTAGTTGGCCCAAGCATCGCGGGAGCGTTGTCCGGGCATCGCGACTATTCCGCTTACTCCTCTTCTCTCCTCATCCCCACCACTTCTTTCCGGGCCCACGGCCTGGGACCCATTCGCGAATATTCTCCTACCCCCACCATCGATCGGACACTTTAACCGCATCAGTCCCCTCCAAGCGCCAGCAACGAAGACAAACGAAAGAAGAATAAAGCAACCGGGACAAGTCTCTCCCTCTGTCTCTACTAATATATTTAAAAAATTAATTAATTATTCCACAAAAATTTTTTTATCAGAAACTTGTTATAAAGCGAAAAAAAAATTAATACAAAGAATAATATTCAAAAAATATTTTCATAAAAGGTAAAAGAAAGTAAAAAAAATTAATTTTTTTTATTGCTAAAACAGGGCTCGAACTAGGTCCGTAAAAAAATTTCAATTATTTTCAAAAATTTTCCTTAATTCGATGATTTTTAATATATCTACTATTTTATTAAAATTTACTAATAGAATTCAATTATTTAAAGAAAATATTATTATTTTAATTATTTTCATAAACAATAACATTTTTCACCGAAAATCAATTATTTGAAAAAAAAAAATTTTTAATCAAATTCTTCGCAAGAATTCAATTATTACCTATTTACAAAAAAAATTAACATTTTTGACAGGAATTCAATTATTTAAATAATTTTAATAAAATTCATTACAGGAAGTCAATAATTTTTTTAAATAGCTACAATTTTAATTAAATTCTTTGAAATAATTCATTCACTTTTTTTTAAATATATCAATAAAATTATTTGAAAAACTTTCAACAAAATATTTCACTAGAATTCAATTATTTTCCCAAATATAATGAAATATTTCATAACAATTCAATTTATTTTCAAAAAGAGTAATAAATTTTTTTTTAAATAAGTTCAATGATTTCCACAAATTTCAATAAAATTCTTCGCTGAAATTCAATTATTTTCAGGAATTTTTAATAAAATTCATTGCAAAATTTAATTATTTACACAAATATTAACATTTTTGATAGGAATTCAATTATTTAAAGATTTTTGAGAAAATTTTGTTCTAGCCATTGTTTAGGAACAGTAAATAATTTTAAACAATAGATGTTTTTATAACATTTATTTCAAATAAATTTTCAATTATGTCGACTCTACAAATTCTGTATAAGAAGCGAATTTCTTTTCACTCTTTATCAATTTATATAAAAAATTGAAAATAAGAATATTTGCCGCGTAATTCGTATAATTGATATGAGGCCCATTTTTAGTGCCGTTAAATTAATTCTAAATCCACCACCGTATATTTATTATATTTATATTTTATCTATACGTATTTGACGTATTAGATAAAACCAAATCTTAAATAATTCCCTTATACCGCTTAATTCCCAATAAAAGAGATTAGAAAAAAAATTTAACATATGTGAAATTAATTGTAGGACAATAATTTTACATTGACGAAATTTGATGATTTAGTTTCATTCCGGTTTAGCCCAAAAATCACATCTTCCCGATGGATTCATTGGACTATCAGCTTCGCAATAAAATGCCCTTGCAAAGCTTTCTAAATTAGAAACGCTTATACCAACTATCTCAGGATTTGTCTCTTCACAATAAATCTGCAAATTTTCGGATATAAAAATTGAGAATTATAAGTTATTAAATATAGTTTTCAAGTAGCAGTCGTAATTTTTATATCAAAGTTTAAAAAATTTCTTGTTTTTGCTTTAATATATATATATATATATATATACTTACAGCAGAATAAGCGAGGAAGAATTGTTGTTTTGGAGTTGTATATTGCAATCCAAAGATTTTCTGAGGATTATCTTCAATCGCATTGATTTCATGTTTAAATGCTTTATAAGCTATTTTCAATCCAACACAAGAATTAATTAGATCATAAAAATTAACATTTTCTTTCACTGAATATTGTAACACTTTAAAGCAATTCATTTTGGAGTTGAAAGGTTCTGAGTGTTTAGCTTTAAAAAAATAAAATTTGCATTAAAATTATAAATACAAATTGTAAGTTAAACATTTATTGCTTTTGGTAATGCAAAAATTCTTACGTATAGCAGAATACAATTTCTGGTATAACTTGAATAATTCTCTGCTGATCGCAACTCCAAAATATGCATAATTCCAAGCTCTGTAAATGTAACAAATATTAAAAATATAATTGTGTTGTCTTTCCTGCTATATTATAATATAAAATATCAATTTTAAATACTCGCATTGTCAATTCACTATCGAATAATGGTAAGATCAGTTCTTCCAACGGAATTTCTGCATAAAAATAAAAATAAAAATTTAATGCTTCATTTCAAACCATCCCGTGTAGAAATGGTGGTCGGGTTCTAGTGGGGACCTCACCAGTTTACCCCATTTGAAAAAGGGCTCCAACTAGAGAAACTGGTGGGGTTCTAGTCGATTTTGTCACGCTCTAGTTGATAGGGCCCCGACTAGAAGTTCTAGTTCACTTCTACCGGTTTTAAAAATTATTATTTTTCAACTTAACTTATTTATAATTGAATTCTCCATTCATATTAGGGTCATTCTCACAATCGGGACACATGACACGTACATTAGATTTTTAAAAATAAATAATAATAATTTTTCAAAATCTTTACGTCCTAATAATAGCATTCATCATGATTTAATCGGATCCTATGAAAAATAAATCGAAAATTTGAAATATTTAAAGATACACGTGTTTATATAGCATAAAAACTCCCCTCCGTTACCGTTCATGAAGTAAGTTTCATTTATAGAAAAGGTATTATATTAATTCTGTAATACAAAAAAATCTTTTGCCCGGTAATATCTACTTATTATTTTATTTCTAATTCAATCATGAAAAATAAAGTAAAATATTTGTTAGTTATTTTTACCTAGAATTAAATTAGTTTTGTGCAGAAATAAAACTCCCCTCCGTTACCGCTCACAAATATAATTATAAAATATAAACAAAAACGATAAAATAGAAATAAATACATCAAAACTCTTTGTAGTGTCAGTATAGTTATGGTTATTGCATAAAATGATGAAACAAAATGAAAACAATTAGTTTTAAAAGAATCTTTAGTTTGTCAGTGTTCATCGACACAATAAAAACTCCCCTCCGTTACCGCAGTAAATTTAGTTTTTAGGACGTAAATAATAATAATTTTTAATAATCTTTAAAACATTGTTTTATTTAAAAACAAAGAAAACAAATGCTGTCATTAATTTATTTATAATATTTATTTTTTTTATATTATAATCATAACATTTTGAAGTTGTATAATGGAAGAAAACTCCCCTCCGTTACCCATGGTATATTTCCATTACACAGCACGTAAATTACAGACTTTATTAATCATCGGATTCGCCTGAAAATCGTTACTCGGGGGTTTTTAGAGTTGCTGATTACGAATATGATAATAATTTTTGAAAATTCAAAATGGCGGATCCAACATGGCGGACAATTTTTTAAAACATTCATCGGATTTGCTTGAAACTCGTTACTCGGGGGTTTTCGGGGTTGCTGATTACGAATCTCATGTCAGTTTTTGAAAATTCAAAATGGCGGATCCAATATGGCCGACATTTTTTTTCAAAACTGCTCAGATTTGCATAAAATTTGTTACTTGGTGGTTTTCGGGGTCGCTGATTACGAATCTGTTATTAGTTTTTAAAGATTCAAAATGGCGGATCCAACATGGCGGACACTTTTTGAAAAATTCATCGGATTTGCTTGAAACTTGTTATTAGAGGGTTTTCGGGGTCGCTGATTACGAATTTTGGGTCAGTTTTAAAAAATTTTAAATGGCGGATCCAATATGGCGGATAATTTGAAGATTGATGCTATTCGATAGAAATTCGTTCCTCAGGGGTTTTTGGGGTCGCTGAATTCGAATTTGATGTTTGTTTTTGAAAATTGCAAATGGCTGATCTAGTATGAATAATTAATTAGATTGGCTTAAAACTTGTCGCTCTGGGGATTTCGGGATTTTGAATTTTCAAAAACTGACATCGGATTCGTAATCAGCAACCCCGAAAACTCCCGAATAACGAGTTTCAAGCATACCCGAAGAATTTTTGAAAAAAGTGTCCACCATATTGGATCCGCCATTTTCAATTTTCAAAAACTATCTTGAAATTCATAATCAGCGACCCCGAAAACCCCCGAGTAACGAGTTTCAAGCAAATCCGTTAAATTTTTGAAGAAAGTGTCTGCCATATTGGATCCACCATTTTGGATTTTGAGAAACTAACATCGGATTCGTAATCGGCGACCCCTAAAACCCCTGAGTAACGAGTTTTAATTAATTTTCATCAATTTTGAAACCCATTTAGCTGCGAGAAATTTTCAACAAAAATTCTGATTAAAAAACATTAATTTTTAATAATAATGTTGATAAAGATTGTAACCACGTATTTTATAGGCTTATTAGGATCCCCCTTTTGCCAAAGGACTAATAATAAAAGTGAATTTTCAACTTTTTTTAAAATGAAATTTCAATTCTGAATTTGTTCATTTCTAGAGATTGACCCATTAACATTATTAATGATTGTTGCACACGAAAAATCTCGTGCCTATGAGGGTTCGAACCTTGGACCTTGGGGACACCAGACGGATACACATACCTCTCGGCCATGATAGGTTGGATGGACTTCCGCTTAAAGTACATCCCGTTTGGAAATTCCGCCATTTGTCCCTATCTCTAGTAGGGCTCTCGCTAGATTCTGACTAGAATCTCTAGTCGAGAAAAACTAGTCGGGTTCCAATCTAATTCTAGTTAGATGATTCTTACAAGCATTATTTATTAAAAAAGTTTGCATATTATTTGATTACTTAATTTTTTAATTATTTAAACAAAATCTTTTATTTATTAAGTAAATTAAAAAAGAATAAACCATAAATAAATATTAATTATGTGGATATAATTAATTTTTATTAACTAAATATTGTAATATATTATTTATTATTATTATTATTTATTAAAACAATTATAGTAAATATAAAAATATAAAAAGTAATGTAATAAATTAGTTATGTTTAATTTTTCAATAACGTTATAGATATAATTAATTCATAATATTTTGAATTTTAGGGAGTTATTATTCATCACTCTTATTTAACTCTGCATTCCTAATGATAGTTAATAATAATTAATTATGACATTATTGAAAAATTAAACATTACTAATTGCAGTGCTTTTTATATTTACTATTTATTGTAATTATAATATTATAGCATCTTTTTAATTATTATTAAATACTTGCATTAATTGTGAAAAACATTTTAAAGTATAATTGCACATACATATCTTTTTAAAAAAAAATTATTTTTACGAATAATATTACAATATTTAGATTTAGATTTTTTAATAAATAATGCTAGTAAGTTTTTCTATCTATTAATCTGAATTATTTATATCTATAGAAAGATAATTTATGTATGTCATACTTGTACACTAGTTTGTCTAGTTTGAAATCGATAAGGTCCTAGTGAGTTTTTTCCAGTCTGAATTATCTAACTAGAATTTGATTGAAGCCCGACTAGTTTTTCTAGACTAGAGATTCTAGTCAGAATCTAGCGAGGTCCCTACTAGAGATAGGGACAAATGGGGAAATTTCTACACGGGATATTTTTAAATAGACTTAGATCTCTTATTTTGATAGTATTATCCATCTCACCCAGATGTTTATTCTCATCGTTATAATTGACGTAAGGAACTAAAGATTTTCCATATTTCATATTTCTTGGTATTTTTATACTAAAAGAAAATACAAATTTAAATAATTATGAAGCACTTAAATTTTTCACCAATATTCTTAATCTTAGAATACAGGGTTGCCACGAAACCTATAGAAAACCTGGAAATGTCAGGGAATTTTATAAACCTTGAAAAAGCCTGAAAAAGTCAGGGAAATTTGATCGGAATAATGGAAAATTATGGTTCTCTATAAAGTTATTGTGCCTTTTCTTAAATATTTCAAAATTAATTCAATTTTAAAAGAGTTGGCAACCCTGCGAAATATTATATTATGCTTACTGATATCGTCTCAGAGCTCTGACTAAAAATTGGATATGAGCTTTTTCGAAATTTATAATATTTAACAAACCATTCATTTCAACAGGAAACTATAATCAAAAAATGAATTTTTAATTCTGCACATTTTTTCTGTTTTTACGAAGTACGAACAAGAAAAAATATTTTATAAAAATAAATTTACATCAAAATTAGTTTCATCCTGTGGTTTTGTTTTTTCATTAGTTATCTCTATTTCTAAACGTCTTAGTGGATGCAAGAACAATTCTTTTCTGTTGTCGTCCAACCAACTGTTGTCTACTTCCTTCTCATATTCTCTAACTATATTTTTCACTATATTTTCAAGCTAGAATAAACAAAAAAAAAACTTTAGTATTTTAAATTTTTACTCCAAAAATAAATAAACCAAAACTTTTGCTTCTTATCCTCTTTTGGGAGCGCGTCGCATTTATTATTTATTTATAATTTTGTACAAAAAATATTTACGATTCACTAACTTACAAGTAAAAATTTTCCACTTAAATGATGGCCCTTGAGAATTCTGTCGTTAATTCTTGATTTAACTGGCATATGTGTAAAGCATTCTCCTTCACTGTTGAAGAAAGTGAATAAGAGAAAATTAATAATGTACTTTAAAAAAAAAATACATTCATTAATCAATTATTTCAACATACGTATATTTGTTTGTTGATGCATGTTTCTCATTGTGCCAAGTAGAGTAAACTCTCGAATTCATTGCATACAGAAAGTGAATTAAATTTGCTGCAAAAAATATTGAAAAATTAAGTATCTATAAATATTAGCCAAAATCTCCCTGACGCATGAATATTATTATAATTTAATGTTGATGGAAAAAAGAATTTCTTTTACAATTCAACTTACCGATTTCACCGTTACTGAGTGTAACTAAAAGTGATACTAATTCTTCAAAATAATCTGTATCAAAATAAAAGACATCATGAGCATTTACTTTCAATCCAATATCTTCAAAGTGTCCAAACCAATCGAACTAAAAGTGTTTATTAAATAATTAGTTTAGAATTTTACTAAATTTAATAAATATTAATTTACTACAATAAATAAATTTAACTAAATTTAATACTTACATTATTTCCTAATGAACTTGCATTAATATCGAAATTTTTCGAAAATTTTTCAAAACTCATTACTTCATTTGTTGAAGAATCAATATTTAAACACTACAAATTAGAACGTTCAATAAATTATAACAGTTATATTGAGTTAATGAATAAAAAATATTATTTTGATTTTATTTTAATGATTTACGCTTAAAAATGTAGTAGCTGATGCATTCAATTGGTCTTTTATTTTATTTTTAAGTAACTCTGGAAACATTTGGTTTGTAAATTTGTGAAGAAATTCCTCTACTACTAAATGTAATGCGTTCTCAGAGTAACTTTTAATTTTCATTGAGTATGGCCTTGTAATCTGCAAATTGTGAATTTGTTTTAAATTAAAAATACTATTTCTTACTATATTTACATTTATTAAAATGTGAGCCATTATATTTAATCAGGGTTGCCACAGGTCAGGGAAGTCAGGGAATTCAGGGAAAAGTCAGGGATTTTTAGTAAAAGTACTGGAAAAATGGAATTTTTTAAGTTCATGAAAAAACTCTGAATTTTGATGTTTTTATTGTTTGCCTCGTAAACTATAAAAATTTACCACGAATTAAATTTTTAATTTTTAATTTTAATTTTTTTTTTAAATTACATTACCACGAATTTTAATACAAAACCTTCAATATTTTCTATTTCAGACAATAATTTCTTTTTAAATAATTTAATTTTACAAGAACTAAAATTATGACTTATAAATTATTTAATGAATCAATTTTACAATTTTTATAAATACTAGATTAATAAAAGAATTTTAGTTAAAAATACTTTTAAAAAAATTGAATTTTGGAAAAGTTACAAATAATTCCAGAAATTCAATTATTTTCAAAAGTCATAAAAATTTTTTCAGAAATTCTATTATATTCAAAAATTAAAAAAAATTCTGGTCATTTCAATTATATCTTTAAAAATATTAAAATTCTTCTCCAAAATTCAATTATGTTCAAAAATTTTTTAAAAATTCTCGTCAAAATTTCAATTATCTTTAGAAATAATACAATTCTTCTTCAAAATTCAATTATTTTTAAAAACTTTAAAAAAATTCTTATCAAAATTTCACAGGAATTCTGTAATTTACAAGATTTCTAATAAATTTTTTCGAAATAAATCAATTATTTTCATAAATAATAAAATTTGCACAGGAATTCAATTATTTAATATAAAAAATTTCAAAATTTTTTTCGAAACATATCAATTATTTAAAAAGAATTTTATAAAATTCGTCGCAGGAATTCAATTGTTTAAAAAAAAATTTAACAAAGTTCTTTTCAAGAATTCAATTATTTTTAGAAATAGTAAAATTCTTCACCGAAATTCAATTATTTTTATAAACTTGAATAAAATTCTTGTCAAAATTGCAATTATCTTTATAAATAATAAAATTCTTTATTATTCAATTATTAAAAAAATTTTTTTTAAATTCTCGTCAAAATTTTAATTATTGTTATAAATAATAAAATTCTTTTTCAAAATTCAATTATTATTAAAAACTTGAATAAAATTCTTGTTAAAATTTCACAGGAATTCAATAATTTATAAAAATTTTAATAAATTTCTTTGAAATAATTCAATTATTTTCATAAATAATAAAATTTCCACATGAGTTCAATTATTTAATATACAAAATTTCATAAAATTTTTCGAAAAATGTCAATTATTTAAAAAGATTTTTATAAAATTCGTCGCATGAATTCAATTATTTAAAAAAATTTAACAAAGTTCTTTTCAAGAATTCAATTATTTTTAGAAATAATAAAATTCTTCACCGAAATTCAATTATTTTAGAAAAATTTTAATAACATTTTTAGGAAAATTTTCAATTATTTTCATAAATAATAAAACTCATCACAGGATTTATTTTTTAATTTAAATAATTGAATTCTTCTAGCATTTTTTAAATAAAAATTGATTAAAAGATGAATTACCGAATAATCGACTTATTATTTAGGAAAATAATTAAATTATTGCAATGAATTTTATTACAATTTTTTCAAATAATTGAATTTTTCCAGAAAATTTACTAATTTTTAAAAATAATTGAATTCTTGTGAAGAATTTTGTTAGGATTTTTGTACATAATAAATTTTTTTTGAAAAATTTCATGGTAATTTAAATTATAACAAAACATGAAGAAGACGATTTATCTTAAAAATTGTAGAAAATAATAATTGAATTAAAATGATGAAAATAATTTTGAAGGAGTTACACAATAACAATATTCTTATATTATAATAAAAAATAATGATTTTATCACTCGGTCATCTTTAATTATTATAAAATATGAAGAAATTGATTACTCCGAGTCGAAGACTCGGAGTAATCCATTTCTTCATATTTTACAATAATATTTTTATCAGTTATTGAATTTCAAAATATTTCAAATTGAATGTTTTGAAGAATTTTAATTCCCACAAAAAAATAATAATGATTAAATATTTATTTAAATAAGAAATTATTGATGTTTGTGAATAATTTTACAATTAATGAAATTTGTAAATAAATGTAATAGAACATTTTTTTGAGTTTCTAATAATATTTAGAGTGAATCAGAATATTTTTTAGGGTCAGGGAAAAAGTGAGAATTTTGTCTGGAAATCAGGGAAAAGTCAGGGAAAAATAAAATTAAATATTTGTAACAACCCTGTTAATGACGTAAAAGGGTAAAATATTACCATTAATGAATTAACGTCATAAAGTAATACTTCAAAAAATGGACTAAATCCAAAAGTTTTGGCATAGAATGCAGCAACATTTTCCCATGGCTCTAAATCTAGAAAAATAATTTTATTATTCTTAAATTATTTGGAAAATTTTAAATAAATTGCAATTTATAATGAAAATTGTCTATTATGAAGTTTTTCAGAAAAGATGAGAGAAATTCATCTTTCTGAGAAAGAAAAATTTCTTTATAGAAAGATTATTTATATAATAATTATTATTAATTATTATTATATTCATTATTTATATATAATTTCTTTATTTTATGCTATATAATATGGGAATGATCATCTATACCTTCACTATCTTCTGGATGTTGAATGCCTTTAGTTTGTTCCATTGTTGTCTTCAAAGTATCCAAACTGTTTTCAGCGGAAGTACCTAGATTCATTTAGACAAATATAGAAAATTTATCATAGTAAGCTTACTGTTATCTGTAACCACAATATCGCAGCAAGCTTCCATGGAATACTTGCTGCAAATTTCCGGGATCTATTACCTTTTCCCATGCACGCATTAAACCAAGTTGATTCCCTTTCAAGAGTATTGTCTGATTCTAATTTCAAAATGCCTGTAAATAATAAAAAAAAACCGTACATTTTTTAGTCTTACATAAACTTTTATTATTAAAAGAGAAATTAAATATAATTATGTTTAGTATTATAGAGAGGTATTTATTTGTATAATATTTATAAAAATTTAATAGTCTAAAAACAATAATGTTGATATTGACATAATAATTTCTATCCTTTATGTTAATAAAAAAATAACAGTCCTTTTCTAATATACAGTGATTATTATAATACTTTGCAAATAAAAAAATTCTCTTCACAGGAAAAAAAAAGTCTGACTCCGTTTACACCTTAAATTCAGCCCATGTATTTCACATAAGTCTGTCCTTGTTTAACGGGGCTGACTCCGTTTACACCTTAAATTCAGCCTCAAAAAGAGGCTGAAAGTAAAACTTTTTTTTTAGTGTGTTGCCCTTAAAAACATTTTATAGAACTAAAATTTTTATTTCAAATAAAAAAAAACAAATTATTAAGATTATAATAAAACTTTAAAAATTAGATTTATATACACAGAGTTATTCTAAGGATATCAAATTAAGACAATAATAAAAAACGTGGCGATGCAACGTTTTGGTAAATGTTCTTTTTATCTCAATTTGCGATATGTTTAGAAAAACTGTGCGTAATAAAATGGTAAAAGAAATTGATAACGAAAATTAGTTTTTTTTATTGCTAAAAGAAAATTTTGCACTGACAATAATAATATTATCAAAACGAATGGAATTTTTTTTTTTTCAATAAAATTATCCATTAAATATTATTTTTATCTAATGCAAATGTTAAATTTTGACATTTTTTTCAAGCACATATAAAACATTTAGTTTATTGTTTTAAAACTTGAATAATTATAACGAATGAAAAATTAGTTTTTTTAAAAAATAAAATTAAAGAAAATTTTTTTTTGATAAAAAATATAATTATTTCAAAATTTTTGTTTAATTAGTATTAAAAAAAAAATTGACAATTGTTTTAATTTGAGGGTATAATTATGTGAAGTAAATAACTTACCCAATGCAGTTCTTTGAATAAATGATTGTGCTATATTTAAATAATTTTTTTTTGAGATGGCACCATTTCTTCCTCGTGAAATGCAAGCATATGATGTAACGTTAGAACAAATGTCTTGATCGTCAATTATTGATTTTCTCAACAGTTCATCTAATAAAAAATCATAGCAGTTTGGAAATAATAATACATTTTCTATTCCGTTGAATACGATTTTTAATAAAAAAATAGATAATTAACATTTTTCAAAAAAAAATCTAAAAACTACTCACCAAATGATGGAAGGTTTCCAAAGTCGGGTACAGCGACAACTACTTTTAATAAGTAGCATAGAAAATAAATTTTCACTGCTTTCATTTTTTAAGTTAAGGTTTTTTAGTTTCTTTAAATCAAATGTCAACTTTCTGTCAACAAAGCTCAAAGTGAACTGATTGCAAAAAGTAAAGAAAAGCTGTATTTATATTTTCCCCAATGAGATAAGATATTTCCTTTTTCAAATTTTTAACAATTTTTTCACTATCCAAAATGAATATTTTTCAAATAAATGTATATCTTTCTTGAACTAATCTTTTTAAATGTCGTGACTTTTGACAAAATATTCGAGCAAAATAATGTTAAAAAATAAAGTTAAATTTTAGAATTTTATTTTTTATTGCAAAAGTGTGAATACGTCATAAAAATTTATTATCTTTTGGAAAATTAAAATAATGTAACCTTAAGGGAAGTGACTTCCAAAATTTACAAACTTATCTAAATTTTTCATGTTTATTAGTCAAATTTTTTAAGTAAAAATTTTTAATTTTTAAGAATTTTTACATTTTTATTTGACTTAGTCTTTAATTGAGAAACATTCTTATTGTCACGAATAGAAAGAAAAAAGAAAAATGTATTTTATTTTATTTTGTTAGGATTATAAAAAAAAATTTAAAAACAAAAAATATATTTAAATAGTGCAATTCAAGACGAAAAACCTCCATATTTTAATTTTAAAATCCGTCAACTGGAACTCGAGAAAAAAATTTGTTAATTTAGCAGTACTAAAAAATTCAGTTGTTAATTTAACTTTTTCAAAAAATTTTTTTTTGGCTTTATATTTTTAGGGATTCTTCTTAACCTTATAAAGTGTCAACAAAAACTATTTTGGTTCAAAAAGAAAATTTTTTAGTTTTAGGTGATCCATTTGAGAAATTCTGACCCTATTTAAATAATTTAATTCTCGTAGAATTTTGTAATAAAAATTGATTTAAAAATAAATTTCAGTTACAATTTTAGAGAATAATTGAAAATTAAAAGCAATATAGCGTGAATTTTTAGAAAGAATTAAATTTTGGAATCAATTTTTTTTAAAAAGTTTAATTGGATTTTTTTAAAATCATTTGAAGTCTTTATTTTCTAATGTAATATTTAACTGAAGAATTTACGAATAAAGAATAAAGAATAATTAAGAATAATGTTCAAAAAATATTTTCATAAAAAGTAAAAAAATTATTTTTTTTTATTGCCAACAGAGAAGGTCACAGTGACAGTAAAATTATATCAAAACGAATAAAAATTTTATTTTTTTCAATAATTATCTATATATTAAATATTTTATCTACTATAACTATTAAATTTTGAACATTTTTTCAAGAAAATGAAAAATTTGTTTTACTGCTTTAAAATATAAAAAATGTTAACAAATTAAAATTCTATTTTTTCAAATAAGAAAATTATACAAGAAAATTCTATTGCAAAACTTTGTTATTTTACTTTATTATTTTTTATATAAAATTCTTCGCAGAAATTCAATTATTTTCCAAAATACCAAAATTTTTATAGCAGGAATTCAATTATTTTCAAAAATTATCATAAAATTCTTCTCAAAAATTCTATTGTTTTCAAAACTTTCAATAAAGTTCTTCTTGAAAATTCTATTGTTTTCAAAATTTTCAATAAAGTTCTTGACTAAAATTCAATTAGCTTTATAAATAACAAAATTCTTTGTAAGAATTCAATTATTTTCATAAAGAACAAAATTCATTGTAAGAATTAAATTATTTAACATTTTTTTTACAAAATTCTTTGAAGAAATTCAATTATCATTATAAATATCAAAATTCTTCGAAGAAAGAAAGAAAGAAAGAAATTCAAAATTGGAAGAATTCAATTATTACCAAAAAGAACCAAATTCTTCACAATATTAAAAGTATTGAAGCATGAATTTTTAGCAATAATCGAATTTTCAAAGGGTTGCGAATTAAAATTTTTGAAAAATTTGAATTTTTCATACTTTTAACTGATAATGCTGTATAGATTTAATTTTTTTTTTTTTGAAAAAGTTTAATTGAATTTATTTTAAAATTATGTTAATTTTTTATTTTCTACAATAAAAAAATTCTATTTATTGTTTCAAGTAAACACTATTAAACAAAATTTATTTATTTATTGTTTAGAAACACTCTGCGAGGATGGTGCGCGGTCAACTTGGATACCGAAACGTGAGTTTTTTTTTGGAAAATTAATTAATTTTCTACTATTTTCTCTTTTTATCATGCTTCAACAATATAAATGACGGGTTCCACGTTAAGTGACCCAGGTCAAAATTTTAAATGTTTGGGATCGGGTAAAAATTTTGCAGAAACAGTAGTCCTATTAGATTCAATTAAAAATACCAAATATTATTAATTTATTTAAACAAATATAAAAACTGGAGGGGGTCAAAGTTTAAATTTTTGGTCTAACATGGAATATTTGAAAAATTTGTAGTTTCTTTAAAACAAAACGAAAATACGTTTTCTATTTTGGGTTTTTCTGCTGTTTTTCAACACTTTCTAATGGTGTAAACAAATGTAGAGAAAAAAAATGTTTGACCTTGAAAAATTAAATTAAAAAATAAAATTTCATTTTTTCATCAAATGGACAGTTTTTATTTTTAAAAAAAAAATTTTATCATAAAGGTGAGGTTTTTTCCTAAAAAAAATGTATAGGTCAAAACGTGGGACAAGAACTTTTAACTGGTCAAAATAAACATTTACTTCTGCAATCCACCGCCCCTGCTCGTTGTTGGGCTATATATTGTTTATAACAATTGAAATAAATTATTTTATGCTTTATTAATTATCTGGTGGTCATATTGGATGAATTTAAATTTATTTAGATCATGTGCATCAACGGAATAAGAAAATAAACCTCCTTTTTTAAAAAAGTGTATTAATTTGTTAACTTTGATTTAAAAAAAATTATAAATAATTAAAATCTCCAAAATCGGCCTCAAAGGATGTCTTAAGAATTTATTCCCCTTTAATTTAAGACAAAGAACACTCAAATCGGTTAAAAATTGTAAGCTATAGACATTTTTTAATAGTAAATTGTAAAAAAAATTCCACTGTGGGACGGTGCACGGCAGAAGTAAATGCTTAATTTGACTAGTTAAAAGTTCTTGTCCCACGTTTTGACCTATACATTTTTTTTAGGAAAAAACCTCACCTTTATGATAAAATTTTTTTTTAAAAAATACAAACTGCCCATTTGATAAAAAAATGAAATTTTATTTTTTAATTTAATTTTTCAAGGTCAAACAATTTTTTTTCTCTACATTTGTTCACACTATTAGAAAGTGTTGAAAAACAGCAGCAAAACCCAAAATAGAAAACATATTTTCGTTTTGTTTTAAAGAAACTACAAATTTTTCAAATATTCCATGTAAATTTTTGACCTGGGTCACTTGACGTGGAACCCGTCAAATATAAATAATTAAATGATTAAATAATTCCAAATAAAACAAATTAGAAAACAAATTTAAGATAATGTGAAATAAGTTGTAGGACAATTACACATTTGCATAATTTATCGGTTTAGCCCAGAAATCACATTTTCTCATTGGATTCATTTGACTGTTCATTTTACAATAAAATGCCTTTCCAAAGCTTCCTAAATTAGAAGCGCTTATACCAACTGTCTGAGGATTTGTCTCTTCACAATAAATCTGTAAATTTTCGGATATAAAAATTGTCTTAATAAAAAAGTTATTTGTCAATTAAATTATAACTCTGGATTATACTAAATTAATTGACAAAAATATTACAAATATATTTAGTTTCAAAATATTGGGATCAAAGTTTAAAAGATTTCTTATTGTTTTTGCTTTAATACACGGAGAGACCGAGATTACTAATTTTTGTATAAAATCACACTAGAATTTACTATTTTCACATTGCAACCACCGGAAATAAGGGGACTTTTTGTATTTTTTACTATTTTCTACACTAAGTCACTAATCCCGACAAATGTTCACCAAATTAGCAAAGTTTCTTACTATTTCGTCCAATAGTTCCAAATAACTGTAGTAAACTCAGAAGCATTGTGTACGTAAAATTACTACAGTCGTTTGTAAATGCAGAAAGAAAGAGTGAAAGAAAAAATACGGATTTTTGTCGCCGGTTTCCCGTCAATTCTTGACTAATGGAGACAAACTGGAAGGATTTTTACATACACAGACACACACACACACACACACACACTTATATATTTGTTGGATAAATATTTGAAGACACACACATGTTTATTTCACTTATATGTATAGACGCGGTTAATTAATACACTAATACACAACTGCACGCACGACAACGAATTTCGCTGAAAGTATACATCTTTGTTTCCTTATATATTGAATGATGAAAATTTACAGCACTTACGAGAAAGCAGTTTACTTTTAACAACATTATTATAAGACATAGTTCTTGGGACAGGAATAAATGCAAAATTTATTAATTTATAATGGTCAATTTCTGAGATAACGAACGACCTACGTTTCACTTTATATTTAATTATTGTAGATAATATCCAAATTTATTTTACATACGCGAAACATAGTCACTGTCAATGATCGGATGGCATTGGCTCATTTACGGAGATTGACGAAGTTAGCAACCAATAGAAATGCAGGCGCCATATGACTGCACTCGCTAGCCACACTTGCTCACCAAAAATTACTACAGTGGATAGTAGGTTTTAGTGGAAAATGTTTACATTTGTCAGATTTTGTCTAATTAAATTAGAGAAAACTATAATCAATTTTTGCTACATTTACAACTCTTACACAAAATATTAAAACTTGCTATTTCAATGTAGCAAATTTATCTATTTCTTTTGTAAATTTATCTAATTCTGTAGCACATTATGCTAAAAGTCCCCTTATTTCCGGTCATTGCAACCATTTTTAGTAATTTTTACGAATGTGGGTCTCTCCGTGTATAATACTTACAGCAGAATAAGCGAGGAAGAATTGTTGTTCTGGAGTTGTATATTGCAATCCTAAGATTCTGTGAAGTTTATGTTCAATCACATCTATTTCTTGTTTAAATGCTTTATAAGCTATTTTCAATCCAACACAAGAATTAATTAGATCATAAAAATTAACATTTTCTTTCACTGAATATTGTAACACTTTAAAGCAATTCATTTTGGAGTTGAAAGGTTCTGAGTGTTTAGCTTTAAAAAAATAAAATTTACATTAAAATTATAAATACAAATTGTAAGTATAACATTTATTGCTGTTAGTAATGCAAAAATTTTATACCTTTAACAGAATGAAATATCTCGTTTAACTTGAATAATTCTCTGCTTATAGCAACTCCAAAATATGCATAATTCCAAGCTCTAAAAGTATAACAACATTTATTGAAAGTATAATTGTAGGTATTATTATTATTATTATTATTATTATTATCATTATTTGTCATTCCTGTTATTATTCAGGGTTGCAACAGGTTTTTCAATTTTAAGAATTTTAACGCAATTTAACGAAACATTAAATATTTATTTAAAAATGAAATTATTGATGTTTCTGAATCATTTTACAATTAGAAATTCGTAAATAAATGAAATAGAACATTTTTCTGAGTATCTATAATAATTTTTAATCGGAATCAGTTTAAAATACTTGCATTGTTAATTCAGGATCGAATAATGGTAAGATCAATTCTTCCAACGGAATTTCTACATAAAAATCAAAATTTAATGTTTTATTTCAAACCTTGTTTTTAAATGAACTTAAATCTCGTATTTTAAATTTTTAATATAATATCCATCTCACCTAGAAGATTATCCTGAACGTTATAATTGACGTAAGGAACTAAATGTTCTCCATCCTTTTCATTTCTATTAACATGTATTCTGAAAGACCAAATACAAATTTAAATAATTATAAAGCACTTAAATTTTTGACCAGTATTATTAATTTTATAATATTCTATATACTTACATATTTTCCTTCCGAGCTTTTTTGTATATGTGTAATTTAAATTTCATTTGACTTTTTTCGAAATTTATAATATTTTTCAAACCATTCATTACAACAGGAAACTATAATCAAAAATGCGTTTTTAATTTATTATTTTGCACATTTTTTGTGTTTACGAACATAAAAAGAAAATATTTTTTACAGAATTATCTATCCTGTGTGGTGATGTCAACTCTAAATTAGTTATTTTTAATTTTAAATTTTCTAATGGATTCAAGAAAACTTCTTTTTCGTCGTCGTTCAACCAACTATTGTCTATTTCCTTCTTATATTCTCCAATTATATTTTCCAGTATTTTTTGAATCTAAAATGAATAATTTCATAAAAATTTGGATTATTTGAAGTATAATATATTAATAATTTTTGCTTTATAGTTTAGTATAGAAAATATTTACGATTCCAGGGTTGCCACGCAACCTGGAAACCTGGAAAACCTGGAATAGTCAGGGAATTTTGATTGAAATCCTGGAAAATTGTTATTTTTTAAAGTTTATTCTTGAAATCTAATTTTACATTAATATTTCAATTTTCAATGAATTTAATTAGAAATCGTCTTAAAGAACGTAAATTTTTGGGAAATTTTAATTATTCCAATTCTTCTGAAATTAGTTAAATTTTTTAATATATATTTTTAATTGATTATTAAAAATAATGGATTTATAGAAGAATTTTTAATAAAAACACTAAAAGAAAATTAATTTTGAAGCAATTACAAATGATTGCATAAATTCAATTATTTTCCATATTAGTAAAATTCTTCTTAGAAATTCAATTATTTCCAACAATTTTAATAAAATTTATGTCAAAATTCCAATTATTTTCAAAAACTTTCTTCAATTCAATGATTTTTAATAAATCTACTACTTTAATAAAATTTTTCAAAAGAATTCAATTATTTCAAAAAAAATTTTTAAATTCTACGCAAACATTTCATTATTTTCATAAATAATAAAACTCATCTCAGACTTTCAATTATTTTCAAAACAATTTTAATGAAATTCCTCGAAAAATGAAATTATTCTTAAAATTTTTATTAAAATTCATCAAAGAAATTCAATTATTTAAAAAGACATTTTAATAAAATTCGTCTGAAAAATTCAATTTATTATTTTCAAAAGTAATATAATTCTTCGTAGAAATTTAATTATGTTCAACAATTTACAAAAATTCTCGTCAAAATTTCAATAATCTTTATAATTTTTTCTCCAAAATTCAAATATTTTCAAAAACTTTAATAAAATTCTTGGCAAAATTTCAATTATTTTCAAAAACTCTTATAAAAAAAAATTTTTCAAAAACTCTTTTCTCTTTAGAGAAATTCAATTATTTTTAATAAAATTTTAATCAAATTTCCAAAAAATAAACTTATTCTTAAAAGTTTTATTAAAATTTGTCAAGAGAATTCAATTATTTAAAAATTTGTTGATAAATGTCTTTATAAAAATTCAATTATTTAATAAAATATTTATTTTTGTATTTAAATAATTGTATTCTCGTGGATTTTTCTAGTAAATATTGATTTAAAAATTAATTTCAGTTAAAATTTTAGATTATTATTCAATATTGAAAGCAATATAGCGTAAATTTTTAGAAATAATTGAATTTTGAAAATGTTTCTAATTAAAATCTTTTAGAATTATTTCGAAGAATTTTATTCAAATTTTTTGAGAACAATTGAATTCCTGCGAATAATTTTATAATCTATAAAAATAATTAAATTCTTGACAAGATTTTTAAGGAAATTTTATAGAATTAATTTTTCTCAATAAGTTTAATGGAATTTTTTTTAATTATTTAAAGTTTTTAATTTCTAATTTATTTAATTGAAGAATTTTAGAATAATCGAAAGTTTAGGTAAAATTGAATTGTAAACAAATGGATTTAAAAATTCTCAAAGAAGAACTTTTTCAAAAATTATTTAAAAAATAAAAAAATTGTTTTAAAAAAGAATTTTAGTTTAAAATTCTAGAAATGAAGAATTGAATTGAAATGAAAATAATTTTGAAGAAATTACAGTAACAATATTTTTATAATATAAAATAATGATTGTATCAAGTTTTAATTATTATAAAACATGAAGAAATCGATCGAGTCTTCGACTCGGAGTGATCGATATATTCTTGTTTTATAATAATATTCGTATATGTAATTGAATTTAAATTTTTTGAAAATTTTAATTTCTGTAAAAAAATAATAATGATTAAATATTCATTTAAAAACGAAATTGAGTAATTTTACAATTAAAGAAATTCGTAAATAAATATAATAGAACAGGAAAAAAAGTCGTTTTCTCTGAAAATCAGGGAGTTTGGTAAAATTAAGAATAAAATTGAGGGGCTGGATGCTATAATGTGTTACGCGCCATGTTAAGTGAATGGCACGTAACACATTATAGCATCCAGCCCCTCAATTAAAAATAAAATTTTGTGAAATATAAATGTAGTTTTAAAAACCTGGAAAAAATACGTTTTTTTATCTGGAAAACCTGGAAAAGTCAGGGAATTTGAAATGAGGAAAAGCGTGACAACCCGCTAGATTTATACTAACTTACGAGTGAAAATTTACTAGGCAAATGATTACTGATAATTTTGCTGATAACTCCTGATTTAATTGGCATTTGTTTAAAGCACTCCTCTTCACTGTTGAAAAAAATGGATAAGTGAGAAAATTAATAATGTACTTTAAAAAAAAGTATATATTTAATCAATTATTTCAACATACGTATATTTGTTTATTAATGCACTTTCGCCATTGTACCATGTAGAGAAAACCTTCGTATTCATTGCATACAGAAAGTGAATTAAATTTGCTGCAATATTGAAAAATTAAGTATATCTAAATATTAAAAGCCAAAATCTCCGTGACGCATGAAAAGAGTAAATGTTGATGGAAAAAAAGTATTTCATTTAAAAATTTATTCAACTTACCGATCGCACAATTATTACTGAGTGCAACTAAAAGTGATCCTAAGTTTACAAAATAATCTGTATCAAAATAAAAGTGATCATAAGCATTTACTTTAAATCCAATATCTTCAAAGTGTCCAAACCAATCGAACTAAAAGTGTTTAATAAATAATTAATTTAGAATATTTTTTAATAATTAGTTTGAAATACTTTACTTCAATAACAAAATTTAATTAAATTTATAATACTTACAACATTATCAGTTGCATCATCGATTACTTCTGAAAATTCTTCAGCATTCATCAATTGAAATTCAACAGTACGACCATTTAAAAGCTAAAAATAAAAAGGAATTTTCAAATTAAATATTATATATTGAAACTTATTGGTGAATAAAAAACCATATTTTGATTTTAGTTTAATGATTTACAATTGAAAATGCATTAGCTGCTGCGTGCAAACTGTTTCTTATTACACTTGCAAATATTCCATTTGAAAATTCGGAAAAAAATTTCTCTATTATTGAATGTAATGCGTTCTTAGAGTAACTTTTAATTTTCATTGAGTTTGGCCTTGTAATCTGCAAATTATTAATTTTTTTAAATTAAAAAAATTTTAGAAAACATTTTTTAAATAATAGAATTCTTTCGACGAATTTCAATAAAATTGTTAAGGGCATTTGAACCATGATGACGTCACACTTTAGAACACATGCTTTGCAAAACTGTGACGTCATAATGGTCCAAATGCCCTTAAGGATAAATATGTATTTTACGGGGAATTTATTAAAAATTATAAATAGAAAGTCTACGATACGTTTTATTTTATTTATAAGAATAATTTAATTCTTGCCAAGAAATTTATCAAAATTTGTTTAAACAATTAATTATTATTATTATTATTATTATTTTATTTATTATTTTTATTTTTTTTATTATTTGTTTTTTTTAAAAACTAAAAAAATTACATTCTAAATTTAAGAAACTCTATTTAAGTAGAGTTTTCTTAAATTTAGAATATTATTTTGTCCGCAGTGTTTTAAATAATTGAAATTCTGTAAAAATATTATTTATAAAAATAATAGTGAATAGTAGCAAATCGTAAAAAAGGTAGTAAATAGTAGTTTTTAGTAGATGAGTGTGAAACCTGCATGTATAGAAAGTAATTAATGCCGTAAAATATTACCGCTATTGAATTATCGCCATAAAGTATTACTTCAAAAAATGGACTAAATCCAAAATTTTTGGCATAGATTTGGGCAACAGATTCCCATGGCATTGAATCTAGAAAAATAATTATTATTCTTGTACAACAAATTTTTTAGAAAATTCTGAGTAAATTTTATTCATAATAACAACCCTCTGCACAGTAAAAAGTAAATCTTATATTTTAAGAACTATGTGTGAAAAGTCAGGGAAAAGTCAGGGATTTTTATTAAAAATACTGGAAAAAAATTTAATTTTTGAAATTCATAAGAAAATTCTGTTTAAGAATAAAAATCCATTTTTCGGGGAATTCATTAAAAATTTTATATCAATTGAAAGTTTACGATACGTTTTAATATATTTGTAAAAATAATTTAATTCTTACGAAGAATTTTATAAAAAATTTTTTAAACAATTATTTTTCTTCGATAACTTTTATGCGAAAATTCCATTTTAATGAATTCTTTTGACAAATTTTAATAAAATTTTCAAGAACAATTACATTTTACCAAGATTTATTATTATTTATGAAAATAATAATTAAATGTTTGCATAGAATTTTAATAACCAATTTTTTTTTTAATAATTGAATTTTTTTGGAAAATTTAATTAAAATAGTAAATATTGAAAATTATTGAATTGATGGAAATTTTTGAAACTTATTGAAATTTTGACAAGAAATTTATTAAATTTTTTGAAAATAATTTAATTTTGGAGAAGAATTTTTTGAAAAAGAAAATTCAATTATAATTTTGAAGAAGAATTCAATTATCTTGTTAAACAACAAAATTCTTCCCATAAAATCAATTATTTTAAGGAATTTTAATGGAATTTATTTTCAAAATTCAATTATTTTCATAAACATCAAAATTTATCATAAGAATTCAATTTTTTTGAAAAGTAATAAAATACTTTGCAGAAATTAAATTATTTAAAAAATTTTTTAAAAATTCTCGTCAATAATTAAATTATGTTTATAAATATAGGTATCGAAATTCTTCTCAAGAATTAAATTATTGGCAAAAATTCTAATAAACTTCTTGTCAAAAGTTCAATTATTTAAACAAAATTCAATAAAATTCATGGTATGAAATTAATTATTTTCAAAAATTATTGTTTAAATTCTTCTCAGGAATTCAGTTATTTATTATTTTTAAAAATTTGAATAAAATTCTTTAAAAAGTTTTCAATTATTTTCAAAAATTGTATAAAAAATTTTTTTTAATTGTTATAAAATTCAATTATTGAATAAATTATTTATTTTTGTATTTAAATAATTGAATTCTCGTAGAATTTTCTTATAAATATTGATTTAAAACTGTTAAAATATTAAAAGAATTGTAGCATGGATTTCTAGAAACAATTGAATTTTAAAAATTGATATTAAAATGACATACCATCATTATTTTCAATATCTTGAAGGCTTCCAGCTTGCTCCATTGTTGTCTTCAAAGTATGCAAACTATTTTCAGCGGATTCATCTACAATCATAGACTAATATAGAAAGTTTTTAAAAAAATAAGCTTGCGATGATCTGTAATGTGGGACTTTTGAAGCTTGTAGCAATTTAAATATTAAGTATGAGAAAAAAAGAACTAAAAATACAACACATATTAAATTGAATTTACAGTAAAAATTTATGAAACTAAAATATTACCTTGTCCCATGCACGCACTGAACCAAGTTGATTCCCTATCAAGATCAGAACTGCTTTCTGTTCTAACTTCTTCAGGCAAAAAGGTAAATATTTTTTCAAACTCTGAATGCAGTTTCAAAATATCTGTAATTAAAAGAAAATGCGTACGTTTTTTAATCTTAAATATAAAATTTAATCAATAAGAGAGAAACTAATAAAAAAAAAATATATATTTAGTATACAGGTAGAGTGTCTAAATTAGTTAAAAATAATAAATTTGTTTTTAAAAAACCACTTTTTATTTTAATTTTTATAGATGTTTATACAGTTCTCTAGAATTGGTTAAAAATAATTAATTTGACAGTAAAAAATCAGTCACTGATTCAAATATAAAATAAATAAATTTAAATAAATTGTAAATAAATTTGTAAATAAATTAAAAAAAAAAAATATCGAATAAATACATAATTTTGTGAAATTTAACTGAAAATAATTAAATTAAAGAATTTTATTAAAAACTTTTTAACAAATCGAATTTTCAAAGTATTTTAATTTAATAATTGATTAATAATTGAATTTTATAAAGAGACACATTTTAATGTACCTATTTATGTTTCTTAGTGCGAAGATTAATAATTAAAAATTTTATTACTTAATTTAAAGAAAGATAGGTACTGAAATTTTTTTAATAAAATGGAATTTTTTCAAAGTTGTTTTAAAAATTCTGAAAAACGAGATTTTTGAAATTTTTCAATTCTTTTGTTTTAAGATAATTGAATTTTTATAAACAAATAATTGAAAATTTTTGAAATATAGTTAAAATTTCTTTACATTCTATTAAGAATAATTAAATTATTTTAAAGAATTTTATTTACAATTTTTGGAAAATAATCAAGGGAAGTTTGTCATTGTAATTATAATTTTATTTTTTAAAATTTTCTTTGCAATATATTCAATAACTGATTATTTTCATAAATAATCATTGCAGTAAAACTCGTTGCAGAATTACAATTATTTTTAAATTCAATAAATTTTCATCAAATTCCTTAAAAATTGTAATTATTCTGAAAAATTTTATTAAAATTCTAAAAAACAATTCAATTATTCTGAAAAGTAATAAAATTCTTCGCAAAAATTCAATTATTTATAAAAATAACTGAATTATTATCAAAAATTCCAATTTTTTCAAGTATTTTAACAAAATTCTTCACAAAAATTCAATTATTTTCGTAAATTTCCATAAAATTCTAAAAAAAAATTCAATTATTCTCAAAAGTAATAAAATTCTTCGCAGAAATTCAATTATTTTTTTAAATATTTATTAAAATTCGTCAAAACAATTCAATTATTTCTAGAAACTGAAAAAAAATCTTATCGAGAATTCAATTATTTCCATAAAACGCAAAATTTTCAAATTTACTAAATTCTTTTGAATATTATTAAAAAAATGAATTCTTCACAAGAATTCAATTATTTTCGTAAATTTCCATAAAATTCTAAAGAAAAATTCAATTATTCTCAAAAGTAATAAAATTCTTCGCAGAAATTCAATTATTTATAAAAATAATTGAATTATTATCAGAAATTCGATTATCTTCAAGTATTTTTTTTTGTGAACAAAATACTTTGGAAAAATTTAATTATGTTTATAAATAGTAAAATTCTTCACAGGAATTCAATTAGTTTTTAAATTTTTATCAAAATTTTTCGAAAGAATTTAATTATTTCTAGAAACTGAAAAACAATTTTCTCAAGAATTCAATAAATTATTTCCATAAAACGCAAAATTATTCAAATTAACTAAATTCTTTTGAATATTATTAATAAAAAGAATTCTTCACAAGAATTCAATTATATTCATAAATTTTTATAAAATTTTATAAAAAATTCAATTATTCTCAAAAGTAATAAAATTCTTCGCAGAATTTGAATTATGATTAAATTTTTTTTTAAATTCTCCTCAAAATTTCAATTATTTTTATAAATAATTAAATTGTTCCGCACAATTCAAACATTTAATAGCCTAAAAATAATGTTGATATTGATAAAAAAAAAGTTTTGTACTTACAATAACAATATTATCAAAACGAAAAGAATTTTTATTTTTGTCCATTAAATATTTTATCTAATATAAATGTTAAATTGTGACATTCTTTTCAAGCAAATAAAAATTTAGTTTATTGTTTTAAAATTTCAATAATTATAACGAATGAAAAATTATTTTTTTTTAAAAATGAAGTTAAAGAAAAATTTTTTTTTTATGGAAAATATAATTACTTGAAAATTTTTGTTTAGGTAGTATTAAAGAAAATTTGACAAAATTGTTTTAATTTGAGGGTATAATTATGTGAATAGTAAATAACTTACCGATTGCAGTCTTTCGAATAAATGATTGTGCTATATTTAAATAATTTTTTTTTGAGATGACACCATTTCTTTCTCGTGAAATGCAAGCATATGATGTAACGTTAGAACAAATGTCTTGATCGTCAATTATTGATTTCCTCAACAGATCATCTAATAAAAAATCAGAGCAGTTTGGAAATAATAATACATTTTCTATTCCGTTGAATACGATTTTTAATAAAAAAATAGATAATTAACATTTTTCAAAAAAAAATCTAAAAACTACTCACCAAATGATGGAAGGTTTCCAAAGTCGGGTACAGCGACAACTACTTTTAATAAGTAGCATAGAAAATAAATTTTCACTGCTTTCATTTTTTAAGTTAAGGTTTTTTAGTTTCTTTAAATCAAATGTCAACTTTCTGTCAACAAAGCTCAAAGTGAACTGATTGCAAAAAGTAAAGAAAAGCTGTATTTATATTTTCCCCAATGAGATAAGATATTTCCTTTTTCAAATTTTTAACAATTTTTTCACTATCCAAAATGAATATTTTTCAAATAAATGTATATCTTTCTTGAACTAATCTTTTTAAATGTCGTGACTTTTGACAAAATTTACGAGCAAAATAATGTTAAAAATGAAGGTTAAATTTTATAATTTTATTTTTTATTCCAAAAGTGTGAATACGTGATCAAAATTTATTGTCTTTTGGAAAATTAAAATAATGTAACCTTAAGGAAAGTGACTTCCAACATTTATCAACTCTTCCAAATTTTTCATGTTTATGAAACATTTTCATTTTTTTTCATTTTCATGTCAAAACTGTAACCGAAAAATTTATTATTTTTGCAAAATTAAAATAATCTGATATAAAATAAACAATATTGAAATATTCTCCAAATTTTTTTGTTGTAAAAAGAGTTTCTGTTTTATATTTTATTTTTTATAATCCAACATTATTTTTTTATTGAAAATTAATTTAATTTTAATTTTAGTTTAATTTAAGTTTAATTAGGTTTAATTCAAACATATTTTTTTGGTTGGCTTATTAATACTTAATTTTTATTTAAAAAAAATTTTTCTTAGTCTAGCTATGATAACTATACAAAAAAATTAATAATAATGAAAATAATAATAATAATAATAAAAATAAAAATAGCAATGATACTAGCAAAAAGGGGGTACACGCACAGAGATTTTCTGGCGCAGTCAAATGTCTATAATCAAACTCTCTTGTTTCGCGAAAAGAAGAATAAAAAAAATTGTACACTATGCTTTTTGCCATCTTTTATTATTCTCTATAATAGAAGGTATATTTTCATGGTGAAGGCATCGTAAAGACACGATTTTGCGTTACGAATATTTGTCGAGGCGCATCGAGACAATAAAGATACGGAAGAATAAAGAGAGGAGGAACTCGAGAGTATTATAGATTTTTGATTCGTTACGATAATAATAAAAGAATGGAATTGTATAAAATTTAAATGTGTCACTTTTTAACAATAACAATAGTAAAACAAATAATAATGATAATAATAAAAAATAATAATAATATTAATAGTAATAATAACAATAATAATAATTTGTCTAAAATTTGTAAAAGCTCAATAAACTGTAAATTGTCTTTAAAAATTCGAAAATTAAATAATAATTGAGAAAAATTAAAAATTGCCTGTAAACGACTCTATAACAATTACAAATTAATTGTAAAATTCTCAAAAATTGCAAATTGCGTCTAAAAGCTCTAAATGTTACAAATTGACTCTAAAAGCTTTAAAAAAATTACAATTTGGCACTAAATAAGCTCTAAAATAAATAAAATTTGACTCTGAAAGCTCAAAATATTTACAAATTCTCTCCAAAAGCTATATGTAAAATAATTATAAGCTATCTAACTCGAAAAAATTGCAATTTGCCAAAACAATTACAAATTGTTTGCAAAAGCTCAAAAAAATTACAAATTGTCTTTAAACGCCTCTATAAATTGCCATTTGTTTCTTAAAGATCTAGAAATTTTTTTAAATAAATTGAAAAGCCCTAAAAATTACAATTTGACTCTAAATGCTCTAAAATAAATGTAAGTTGACTTTAAAAGCTATAAAATATTAACAAATTGCCTCTAAAAGCTCAAAATTAATTAAAAATTAACTCGAAAAAAGCTCTAAAATAAATGTAAGCTGACTTTAAAAGCTCTAAAATATTTACAAATTGTCTCAAAAAGCTCTAAATTAATTAAAAATTGCCTCGAAAAAATGACAAATTTTCTGTAAAAAAATCTAATACAAATTGTTTGCAAAAGCTCTTAAAAAATAACGAATTGTCTCTAAACGCTTAAAAACTGCCATTTGCTTCTTAAGAATCTAAAAAAAATTTTTTATATTAATTTAAAAGCCCTTGAAATTTCAATTTGACTCTAAAAGTTCTAAAATAAATGTAAGTTGACTTTAAAAGCTATAAAATATTAACAAATTGCCTCTAAAAGCTCTAAATTAATTATTAAAAATTGACTCGAAAAAATTATAAATTTTCTGTAAAAAAAAAATTTTAAACAATTATGAATTGATTGTAAAGGCTCTAAAATTGCAAATTTTTTTTGTACAAAAATAAAAAAAATTACAATATGACTTTAAAAGCTTTAAAATAAATGTAAGTTGACTTTAAAAGCTCTGAAATAATTTCAAATTTAATCTAAAAGTTTTTAACTATTTAACCATTGACTCTAAAAGCTGTAAAGTGATTAAAAATTGACAATATAAGCTCCTCAAAAATACAATTTGACTATAAAAGCTCTAAATATTTACAAATTGTCTCTAAAAGTTCTAAAATTACAAATTGAATTTAAAAGCTCTAATAATACAGTTTTAAATTAACAATTAAAGCTCTAAAACATTGACTCTAAAATTATTAAAAATTGACTTTAAAAGCTCTTGAAAAAGAGCTATTTAATTATTGAAATTTAACTCTAAAAGCTCTAAAATAATTAGAAATTGCCTTGAAAAGCTCTTGAAAAATTTAAATTTGACTCTAAAAGCTCTGAAATAATTATAAGTTGTCTCTGAGAGCTCTAAATATTTACAAATTGTCTCTAAAAGTTCTAAAATTACAAATTGATTAAAAAGCTCGAATATAGTTTAAAATTGTTTCTAAAAGCTCTAGAACAATTACATATTGACTCTAAAAGCTCATAAAAATTACAAATTGCCTTTAAAAGCTCTGAAAAAAATTTTTAAATTTGCGTGTAAAATCTTTAAAATATAAAAACATAACGTTATTAATGTTAGAATTGAAAAAAATTAAAAAGAAAATTAATTACTCTCGTCTGTCCCTTTTTCTCGTTTGCTATAGTAAAAATAAAAGAGTAACAAAATCCCAGGCGGAAATTTCCAACCGGCGCGGATCCTAGCCCGTACTGACGCCGGTGTAACTGTACTGGCTCGGAACCGTCTGCCAACCGAATGTGAACGGGCATTCTACCGAATAGTGACTAGGCCAGGAGCGCGCTGGCAACCGGCTCGGAACTGGCATTCTACCGCCCGCTGACCGGCCGGGAGAAGCCGTTTCGTGTATAATTCAACCGGCTGGGACCTGGCACTCTACCGACCGCGGATTTTTCATTTAATAGCCAGCTGAGCGCTGGCATTCTACCGACTGACAAGCGGGTCGGATCCAAATGATAATTTCAACAAATATCAATAAAAAAAACAATAATTAATTGCAAAAGATAAATACTGATGACAATTCATTGACAGTTCACTTCACACATTTTTTAAATTTTTTTATACACTTAAACGCAATTTTTATTACATACACATTTGAAAAATCCTAACGCTTGGGGGTACGAACCTACGCCTAACCGAATATTTACGCACCGAAATCTCGCACGCTAACCACTATGCTACGCTCGCATGGGACTCTCAAATCTTAAATACTCTCAAGTCTCACCTAGCTGAAATAAAACTTATAGAATTACTACGCGGCAATCAACAATTCTTAAATATGTACCGCTATATTTTCAATACTTTATTGAATCTATATTTACGAATATGTTTCAATATTTCGTTAACAAAGAAATTTATTATATTTTTATTATTATATTTGTTAATAATATTTTATTACATAATATATTGAATAATTGTTTCTTAATTTTATTATTTTCTTAATATTATTGAGAATTAATAATAAATTATTAATATTAATGATTTATTATTAATTTATTATTAAACAATTATTATTGAGATAATATAAATTAGTATTATTATTAATATTAATAATTTATTATTAATTCTCAATAATAGGTAATAAATTTATATTAATAATATAAATTTATTTATAATAATTATAAAAAATAAGTAATAGTGTTAAATTGAATAAATTTTTTTAAATTTTTAAATTTTGAAAAAAGTCTCAACAAATAATTACTTAATATATTGATTAAATTCATTTATTAATTAATCATTATTTTCTAAAATAATGCAATTAATTATTGTAATAATTATTTAGTTATGACTCATTTTTAAAAATAAATTCATAATGTGATTTATAATGTGACAATAAATGACGAGATCCGCAGTCGGATCCGGCCCAGCACCGAGCCAGTACAGACTTAACATATCCGTCATTCTTCCGACGCCGCAGAAGAATAAGATCCGCCGGCGGAAGAAATCCAGTACCGAGCCAGTACTGACAAAAGTGGGAAGACGGTTCCGACAGTCGGAGCATAATCTGTACCGCGCCGGTTGCTTTTTCAGATCCGAATCGGTACAGACCGTCGGTACTTGCGGTCTGTACGGGCGCGGATCCCAGCCGGTTGTAAATTCCGACATTCGTCCGACTTTTCCGCCTGGGATGAATGAAATTTCACTGGTTGTATATACATATATAGTGAATTGAATAAAATGAGAAAGTTTTTTTTCGGAGGGGGAGAGGGGGGGGGATAAAAGTCGCACCAATGTGCCGAATGAAGATTATCAATTGAACCTGGTGAGCTCCCCTCTTGTGCGTATACATATGTAAACACACGCGTATACACTATGTGTTGTATAATACACATTTCGTCGGGAAGATAACAGTTCACGGCCTGTACCGTTTGCGCTATAACGTTATCCCCCTGGTATATATATTTCTTGGTCGTTCGGACATTCGCGCATAACTATAAGAAAGTGAGTCGATAAATACGGAAAGTAAAACGGTGAACGTCGTTCATATAAGATTCACCTTCGATATACAAAGGGATCTTGACAAAAGGATCCACTCACTTTCCATTTCGCCGAAAAAAAGAAAGAATAATCCTCTTTATATAATTTAAATATACATTATAATAAGTACATGTAATTACAAACATTTTTCTTTTCATCGAAAAATTATCAAATTTTTAACAGTATTCTCAATTTTTCTATTTTTTTTTTAAATTTCTCACGTATTTTTTTAGAATTGTCTATAAATTTTATTTTTAATTTGGAAACATTTTCTATCTACCAGCCGTACGTAAACTATGTTACCAATTTTTCATTCTATCCCCCCTCCCCCTCGTTACCAATGCGTTTATAGCTTTTTAGACCCCCCTCCTCCCTAAATTGGTAATAGTTTATAGATGGCCCCTTTAATTTAT